TCCTCTGGAGATCGACTGTTCTTGCCTGCGTTACTGCATCTTCAGCATTTCGCTAGTGGGAGCAATGCCCAGGCCAGCCCGTGCCGGTCAGCGGAAAGACCTGGCCCCCGGGCGCAGGCCTCACCTGGACCAGGAAGACCCCACCTGCAGGGGCCCCTCCCCGCCAGCCGGGCGTCCCGTCTCCGCTGGCAGGCGGCTCCTCACGTTCATCTCTTGCCAAATCAGGACTCTCTCTCACTGGAGACTACAGGGCAGGGGAGGGCGCCCAGGACCTGGGGTCCACCTTGAGTTACACCTGTGCGACCACAACCACCTGAATCCTGAGCCTCTGGGCCCTCCCCCCCAGGAGGGGCCTAAGCCCAGGTCCTGGGAAATTCGCTCAATAAAGCTGGCTTCCTCCTGCCCCCCACACCGGGTCCTTTGCAGCCCACCTGCTGCTCAGCGGAGGGCAAGGCCGCCCTCAAAGCCCCGAGTGGGCGGGCAGTTTTACCTCCGTCCTTGGAGGGCAGCGGGGGCTCGGGCTTCATCTCCCTCACGGACAGAGGTCACAGAGGGGAGATGTTCTGTCTGTGGACAGGTGGTCTGCTTTAAACCTGGGCCCTCTCAGCTCCAGTTAGCCCAGGGCCACGTCCCAGTGTGGGGGGACCCTTGGGAGTGGAATCCAGCAGCTGAGTGCACTGGTGGGAGGCTGGGGGCTGGAGGGGCCCTGGTTCACTGCGGGTGTGACCGTGTGTGACCAGCCCTCGGAACCTGGAGCCTCTGGTCTGTCTCCCCCAGGCGTGCCCCGACCGTGTCACTGCACCGTGAGGTGGGGTGGAGAGGCAGTTCCTAAGCTGGGGGTGGGGGGGGGCGAGAACGGGAACCTGGTGGAGAAACACTGGCAGTCACCGGGACCCAGTCTCGGGGACCCACAGGTCACAGTGAGCCAGGCCTCTCTCTCGGGACCTCCAGACCCCAAGTGTACCCTCAAACAGGCGCCACGCTCATCAGGGCCGGGGAGGGAAGCCCGCGTGGGAGGTGGGTGAGGTGATGCCGGCCTTTTAGTCACGGCGACCCGGGCAGCGTGCCGAGTCTGTCAAGTCTGCAAATGAGACACACGTTCTTTAGAGTCCAAAGGAAGAGAGTCCTGGGCGGGGCAGTGTGAACCATTGAGGAACGAGAGAGAGAGAGAGAGAACACTGGTGTGCTCTAGGGACGAACCTCGAGTTACCGTGTCGCTCGGCAGAGCGGAGCCCCCGCTGCTCTGGGGCAGCAGCCTCTGCGCAGGGTCCCCCCAGGGCGGATGGGCAGCACGGGGGCGGCCGTCCCAGCCAGGGACCCCAGGCCTGTGCAGGGGCTTCCACCCCCTTGGGGCCCCGCCCCTCTCCCGGCAGGTGCGTCTGCAGTCTGCTGGTGCTGGGGGAGGACCCACAGCCAGGCCCCGCCCCTGGGGGCAGGTGAGCTGGGCTCATACCCGGTGCACCTGTGCCAGGATGTGGGGCGCCGCAGAGGCCAGGCCGCCCTGCCCAGAGCTCCGAGGCTGTGCTGGGACAGGTGTTCACACCCCAGGTCCCAGATGGACCGACTGCCAAAGATCTGAAGCCGTGTTACCCAAGTTAAATCTCTTTAATATCCCAATACAAAGTCCTGATGCAAAAAGTGAGAAAACCCTGGGAAATTGAGGGGAGGGGTTTATAAATTAAGAAGAAGAAAAAAGAAGAACCCGAGCAGCTTTCCAGGCGCCGAGAGGCAGGGAGGCTGAGAGGAGCAGCAGTGGGGAGGGGGCTCGGCCCGTCGGCCCCTCACTCCCAGCTGCTGCTCGGCCCCCTTCAGAGGGCCATACCCTTTGGATATCCGCTCCCTTCTCGTGGTCCCTGGGCTTCAACTAGCTCTGGCTTCAATCCCCTACAAAAATTCCTGAGATCTCGGGGACCCCAGCCAGCCCCTCCCCTGCAGTGCCCCTTGACGGGGAGGGCCGGGAGCCCGTAGAGTTCGTAGGAGTGTCGTGGGAGCGGGTCAGGCGCACAGGGGTATCTCTGAGTTCCCGGCGCGCTGCAGCAGCACACAGAGGGGCAGGCTGCCGTAGAGCTTGGGGTCCGTGAGGGGCTGCAGCAGCAGCAGGAAGAGGCCCACCCCCAGGGCGTAGCCGGCCAGCAGGGGCCGCCTCTGCGGGTGCTCCAGGGCTGCGCACACGGCGGGGAAGCCCATGTAATTGCAGAAAGAGTGGCAGAGAACCGGCCCGATCAGGTGTCCTGGGGGGGACAGAGCGCTTAGGAGCGGCCCCAACGCCTTGGGCCCCGCCGGGCCTGGTGACCGCGTCTCCTGTTGCGGAGGCCGTGCCCCCTCCACTGTCTCTGCCTCCTTCCCCTCCCCGAGCTGAGGGCCTGCTCAGCCGGTCCAAGGCTGTGACAGGAAGCCTGCTGTTCCCACTCTCCACCCACTCCTTGGACCCTGGCCCAGTCCCAGGACCGAGAACCAACCTGTACGGATGAAGAGGAAGGCGGTGTAGGCACCAAAGACGGCCGTGTAGGAGAACTGGAACGCTGGGGACGGAGGCTGCGAGTGACCACGCCTGCACTCCTCGGCCGGATGCCACCCCGTCCCCCGTGAGTGACCACGCCTGCACCCTCAGCTGGACGCCACCCCGTCCCCTGTGAGTGACCACGCCTGCACCCTCGGCTGGACCACCACCCGTCCCCCGTGAGTGACCACGCCTGCACCCTCGGCTGGACCCCACCCGTCCCCCGTGAGTGACCATGCCTGCACCCTCGGCCGGACACCACCCCGTCCCCCGTGGAGTGACCACGCCTGCACCCTCGGCCGGACACCACCCGCCCCCCGTAAGTGACCACGCCTGCACCCTCAGCTGGGAAGCCACCCCGTCCCGGAGAGTGAATACGCCTGCAACCTCGGCATGGAAACCAACCGGTCCCCCATGAGGGAAATGGCGTGCACACTCGGCTAGAGAAACTCCCATAGCCGGGGAGGGAAGAAACTTAAAACTGGGGGAAAAAAGGGACATTCGGTGAATGGGGGGATTAAAATTTAGGGGGGATGAGTAGATCGGAGGGGTGTATAGAAGTTTAATTTTT